TATTCCTTCAAAAGTCAACATAAAGCAATTAAAAAATATAACGAATATTAAAAAGGGGCCAAGAAAATAAATTTAGAAGAGGCATCAAATGTCTTTTAATACCCATGTAGCTGACAGGGATAATGGATTAACGAGCACTCCCATAGCATCTTATCAGCTGGATGGATCTCAAATCATTTTATTGGCTCTGTATAAAGATTACTTACTGAGATGAAGATGTTTCTGGGTTGGACCACAGCAGCCTTTCTATGCCAGCAATATCTATGCCAGCAATATTGCCAAACAGCCTCAGGCAAGAGTAGTGAAGAATAACTTTTGTAGTTTAAACTGCATGAAGGATTTTATGGCAGGTACAACATAATCATGGGAATTTTAAATTCATCAGAGGACTGGGGCCAACACCCTACTGCCAGCAAAGAAGACTCATATGTTCTTTTAAGAATCACAACTAGTCAGATGCACAGTTCTATAGTGTGGTTGTTATGGTTATTTCATAGTATCCCGAAGCACAATATAAATTTTTACAGAATATATAGAAAGAGCTGGTCTCTGCTCCAAAGGACCTAGATCTCATATTAGACATAATATGCTCAGTGGAGATGATAAACTGTAGAGAGGGATGGGGAAGAAATTACAAAGGTTACAACAAGGTGCTCAGATGCCATGGTAACTCACTTGAGGTGACTGTGCTCTTGGTGGGTTATTTTAAAGGGCATCTGAACATATTTAGTAGTTATATAGTAATTGCCTTTGGGGAGATTTTCAAAAGCCAACATGCTAGTTAAAATCTCCACTCCCATTGACTTTTGGTTGTTTGTGAAATGTTTGCCAAGATTAGTCTTTATTCTAAGTCACATGCCCTTATTTCTGTGCCATTGCAGAAGACAGAAATTTTGAAGCATGACAATGAAGAATCACAAATAATGAACATGTTCCTCGGGTATAGATTTTCAGTGGAATAAACCTGTGCTAAAAATCAGCAAAATGTTCAGGATTATGTGAATGTTTTCATGTGGTAGTCGTCTGACTATCTGTGGTGATAGCAGGATTGGCTTGTGCTGGATCTGGGAGCTCAGACCCACGTTAGACAGGAGCTGCTGCCACCCTACACTGCTGCTTCTTTATCAGAGGCAGCAGCACCAGGCAACAAGCAGCCAGTCCACAAGGGGAGCTGGTTTTTAAACGGGATCCCTTCGTGGACCAGCTCCCACCTGATACCCTGCACTGCTGCCTCTGATACAGCGGCTGCCGGCCCTGATCCCAGGGACTATAGAATAGTTGACTAACTGATAAGAATTTATGAGGTTACTCAACTATTCAATTAACTCTTATTTAACATCCCTAGTACAAGTAACATTGTCTGTAGGAGTGGGTTGTGCCCATGAAAGCTCATGATACCATCTACATGCTTTGTTAGTCTTTAATGTGCTACCAGACTATTTGCTGTTTTTAAGTTTTTAAGTTTTTCCTGTTACAGACTAACTCAGCTACTCCTCTGAAGCTTTTGTCTGTGGGATTCAGGTCACACTTGAGAGAAATTACAGCTGTTCCTTCTAATGTTAATGCTTCAGCATAGGGCAAAAGCCCCTCCCTTGCTTCTGTGCCTGCTGACATGTTGAGGAAAATATTCTTTCATTTTGTTTTCATCTATAACTTTGCTTTATGATCAGTGAAGTGCTCAGTTCGTGGTGACAGATTCTGTACATGGCCAGGCAGTTAGATCATCTTGGGAACATTTCTTCTGGGAGTTTAAAACAAAAACCCTCTTTGCTAATATAAACACATATTTCGGCATCACTCTCTCTCTGTCTCATGCTCTTCTTTTCTTATATACCTCCCTAATGAAACTCTCATTCGGGATTTATAATTTAGCAGATTACATTTGAAACTTGGGCACTTCACTGATACAATCTTTTAGGCTGATTATTAAGAGTCTTCAGCACGCAGACTTACTCTGAGGGAGAACAAAGATGAACTGCCATTTAAAGAACATTGCACAAGAGACAGATGCCGAGATCTGTCGCTATCAGCTGAATTAAACAGCCTCAAGGCTGTGTGATAAAATACATTCCCAACCAAAGGACCCTGATATGGGGTCAGATACTGGAAAGGGATTCCCTGGATAGTAGAGGGCATTTGCCTAATTTGGTGGCCTTAGAAAAGCTTTAGGTCAAATGCGTCTTAAGGGAGCAAATCAGTTTTCTAGTTCTGGCTCTACTATTCCACTCCATTATCTGAAGAATCCTTATCTACTTTCTCAATGTGCACTTTTAAACCATGCATCACCATCGCTTATCTGTCACTAGAGCAATTCCCTTTGCTGATTATATTGTCAAACTGGTGAAACGATATATGACATCTGAAGGCTCCAAGCTAGTGGGTTCAAACAACAGGTTTTGCAGCATGTGATTTCGGAGCTAGGATTTAAGATAACATTTTTATTCGATGGTTAGAAGTTAAATGGATAAAAATCAAAATTGGAGTATCAGAATATTGACCCTACTCCACATAATCTATGTCTCCTATCTCTCTTTGTTTAGCACTGTACCTCTCCTCTACCAATATATGTAATTCTGTCCCCCACTCCTCCCCAATTTAAAGGGAGAAGCTCCTTCTTCCAAAAGAATTGTCTTTAAAAATATTTGTGAGATACTCATGGGACATGGGACTCACCACCATACATTTTCAAGCAGTAAGGTCAACTCTGATCTACTAAACATTTAAAGCCTGTTTATCAAAGGTTGTTCGCTCCATGGTTTATTGCTGAGGGTGGCTGTCTATCCTATTCCAGTTCCAAATCAGCTCCTTTCATGACTGAGAGAGGCCCATGGGCAATACTTGGCTATAAAGTCTCATTTACATTTGTATTTCTTCTGAAAGTTAATCTTTAGTAAGCAAACAATGAAGAATATTCTTCTTTGAACTCACCAGACTCAGCTGAACAGACCTGTTAGCATGTTAAAGAGCAAGCTATTCTGTTTCCTCAAAATGATGACAACCAGCCCTCCTACCCATCCAAGCAGAATAATATTACTTTAATAATATATACAAATGGGAGCTTCAGTGCTATTCACTGTACAGTGATGAGCCCTCAGCAGAAAGCAAAGGAAGTACATGAAATAAAGTAAATGAAATATAATTTGCCATTACTTGTGACTGTTTTAATTGTGATTGCTTTAAAAAAATGGAATACTTGAGTGAAGCTCTTCAGGGCAGAGACTGCTTTTGTAGATGTCTGAACACTTTGCAGCACCTTGTAGATGCTGCCCGCATACAGATAATATAAATAAATGTCAGTGTTAAGTACCCTGTGGTGATCTTAGGAAGAATGCTATTTGATGCTGCTGATCCTCAGTTCTCTGCAAGTGTAGCGCTCCAAATGGATCTCTGAGATGGCTAAATATAATTATGTCCGTTTTACAGATGTGAAAAATAAGGCACAGAAAAGTTGTGACTTGCCAAAGTCAAGAATCGGGGCAATGGCAGAGCTGGGATTAAAACTCAGCTAATCTGACATCTAGGGCTGTACCCTATCTATTCACTGGACTATGCTATATCCTCTGTGGCTACAATAGTATTGGTGAAAGCTATGTCCATGCAGGAAGCTGTGGTTCAGATTGATTTGGACTTTTTGGCCAATTAAAATATAATTTCCCTGTTATGAGCTTATTGATACTAGTAAAATAGGATGTTTGCCAAAGAAACTTCTTTGCCTCCCTCCTTGGATAAAAATTTCCAAAATCTGTTCCCATTAGTTAACAAACATGAATTGGTACGTACCAGCCTAAGTTTCCTGTGAGAGACATTTAGTTTCATGCAGGCTATCTTTCTGTTTTGTTGTATGCTAAATGAGTCCTTAAGGGAGTTTTGAGGGGTGTCACTATTTTTGGGGATAATTTTTATTTCAGAGACTTCACATAAGAAATGCACCTCACTCAGAGAACAATGTATTCCTCTAAGCCCTGGGACTTGGAACAGAGTGTTATTATCTGGGGCAGGGTTCATCTGCATTGAACAGTAAGTATTTGTAATGCAACACCAAATAAAAAAATATCCTGAGAACCTGCCTACGCTGAGAAAAATGTCTGTATTTATTATTGTTACTTAGATACACCATGGTAGTGCCTACAAGTTCCAGTTGAGATCTGGTACTATGGACAAAGGCACTGTATAAATAAATAGCAAGGGACAGACCCTGCCCAAAGAGCCTGCAGTCTAAACAGACGAAGTCATAAAGAGAGGCAGTCCCTTGCCTGAGGCCAACTGGCAGAACTGGAAATAAAATCCAAGTCTCCTAAACAATGTTCCCTCTAATTTTTTCCATCCATGTGCAGAATAAAATTTATTATGGGCACCAAGGCATGTGCATATGTGCACCACCAGTAGAAACACATGTACCAGAGCACTCACAGCTGGTACATCAGCTGGGCAGCACCTGAATGCTTCCTGGGTGACTGCCCAAGCACTCAGCTTACAGGGAACAATGAAAAATGAAGTGCAATAACTTGTAGTGCAATAACTGACCCCTCTGCTGACCCACGCTGCCTATAGGCATCAGGAAAGCACCTTTCCCCCTTCTTTTTGAATGTTCATTTTCTCCTTTTCTGACTCTCACTTTGTCTCTCCCTCTCCGTTCCTCTCTGGCAGCTCCCTCTACCTAATGGAGGTGCTTCAACCTAGTCATATTAATCTTTCTAAGGAAAAAAAATCCTCTCTGTTGCTGTGCTCCTGTAGACTCAATTGCTTAACTGAGACTGTTCTGCAATACTTAGTAATGCTAGAGCACTGGTTCTCAAACTTTTTGGCTGGCAGCCCACTCCGTTCAATGCAGATCCGTCTGCGGACCACCAGCCAGCCACCCATGATGACAAATAGGTGGAGAAGGGGGTGAGGATGTGAAGTCTGGGTGCGAGGCTGGGAGCAGGAGCAGGTTGAAGGGAGATCTGGGGGGAGGGGATGAAGGTATGGGGTCTGAAGGGAGGGGTATGGAGAGTGCTTACCTGGTTCCATGTCTCCCACTGCTCCCAGGCACGGCCCCTTGCGGCTTCCACTGGTGGTGATTCCAGTCAATCGGAGCAGGGGGGCAAGCCTCCAGATGATGAACTGTTTCCTGTGCTGCCATTCCCCCAGCCGGGGGGAGGAGGAACTGCAGCGTGTGGAGCCACTTCTTCCCCCCACAAGCTGGAGTTGGCCTGCAAAGCTCATGCCCATCCTTCCCCCACAGTGGGAAGCTAGCACCTCGTAGGTGGCTGCAGGGCTGGGTTGCCAGCGCAGGCTCCTTGTTGTGGGGGAGGAGGGCAAACCCCACGCCTGTGGACCATTAGTGGTCCATGGACCTCACTTTGAGAACCACTGCTACAGAGCAATGTAACTGTTACGTTAATACCGTGGGGCTGAAAGACTCGCCAGGTGCCTCAGTGGCCAGGGGAGCGGGGCAGGGCCTTGGACCAAAAGGATGGTGCTGAGACTAGCTTTCCCTAGGCAGCCTCAATGCTGCCTGGAGCATGCCACACTTACTCCATTGCAGATTGCCCTCATGCTGCCTGGGGCTCCAGCGTGATTTAGAGTAGCGGCAGTGGTGTCCAGGAGCCCCAGGCCCCTTTTGAATTGCTGAGCCCTGGCGCAGTTGTCCCCCCCAGTTGTCGGCGGGCCTGAGTTAATAAATGATCCAGTCCTGAGAAAATATTCCTGGCCTCTCTCTTAGTGCCATTGTAAATTCATTCCTTCAATTAATGTTGTTATAAAAAAAAATTCCCAAACAATGACAAATAAAATAGGACCTAATGTTAAAGTGTAGAGCTAATCTGAGTAGTTGCCATGCAACTATGACCCATGGTGCATGGACCTGCTCACTGTGTGTGTTCTACATTATATGTGCTAGTGCTGCCAAAATCCGTTCTGTCTGCTTTTACTCTTGCTACATATGCAAAGCCCAATGTGCTGGAAGAGCGAGCTGGATTGAGAGATGTGAAGGCCAGAAGGGACCATGAGAGTCTCTAGTCTGACTGCCTGTATGACACAGACCATAGAATTTCATCCATTATTGAGACCAATAACTGGAGTTTGACAGAGGCATAGCCCCCTTAAAGGCAGCCAGCCTTGATGCAAAGATTTCAAGAGATGGAGAATCTGCACTTCCCTTGCAGTTTGTTCCAATGATTAATCACCCTTTCTATTAATATTTGAGTGGAGCTAGCTTTAACTTCTAGCTATTGGCCTTATTATGCCTTCCCCCACTAGATTAAAGAACCTTTAATATCTGTTTCTTCCCCTGCAGGTGCTAATACATTCATCAGCTCATTGCTTGTTCCTTTTTTTGTTAGCCAAAGTGATTTAATGCCACGAATCATGCAGAAGAGCATTTTTTCCTAACGTCAAATTATTTGTGTGGATCTTCTCTGCACTTTCTTCTTTCTATCATTTCAACCTCTTTCTTAAAGCGTTGACTCTGAGAACTGGCTGCAGGATTCCATTTAGCTATTTGCAGTTATTAAATGACCTGTGCACTTTCCACAAGAGTTGGAGTGAAAATCCCAGCATCTGCCCAATTTCCTACATGGCTTGGATTCCATTTGGCATCATCAACAAACTTTTGAAGTAAATACTCATTGCTGGGGTAAACTGTCCTCTTCGGGTACACCGGTGGAACCTTATTGGAGGTAATGCCCAAAGCCACACAGCAAGTTAGTGCCAGAGCTGCTTAGGGATCCTTGATATCTACTCCTGTCTTCAATTCACTGTTGCATTGGTATCCTGGTGAAGTTCTAGCTCAAGTCACCTAATTTTCTCTTCATTTCAAATAGATCCTTCCTTACTTTCCGGTATAACTTGTTGGCTGTGGTGTTCTTAGATGTTAAGCAACTGCCATGTTCCTTCACAGAGGTGGCTGGACCTCAGTTGTGGGTGAACTTATCCCTGTAATATGCATATTTCTGGTAGCTTTCAAGGTGCATAGGGATCATCAGACACAAAAAACCCCAGCATATAATGTTCTTTTGTCAGGACAGTGACATAGCGAGGTCATGCATAGATTCCAATTTCCACAGGCGTTTTGCAAGGCTGTGCGCTGGCACCAAAGTTGTTTAGTATTACCATCAATTGGCTGATGGATAAGCTTGAGGGAGGGGTGTCGGAGTGGGGGGAGGGGCCACGATCTCCCACTTTTTGTCACAGGCGAGTCCCCTGCCACTCCTCTTATTCTTGAGGCCTTGACACCCCACCCCCTCAATGAAGCTGGAGCTAAGCCAGGCCTCTCCACCCACCTGGCCTATGTCCTTGCCCCCTGGGCTGGGACAGATGAAGGGTCAACAGCTCCCCACAGTTGCCTACATGGCTCTAACTATGGCATGAATGTGGCTCTTCAGCCCCCAATACCCCACCCTCAGGCAAGGTCAGAAGCCCGAGTGGGGTAAAAGCCACATGTGCATCTGAGGGGAGCTGCAGATATGGGCTAGGAGCGGCTCTCGGGCCACCTTGCCCCAGCAGATGGAGGAGCCTGGGCTCTCTGTTCTGGCTCTGGCTTCTGGCTTGCACGTGGGGCATGGCCTTGGAGGAAGAGGAGGAGGTGGGGCCTCATTCCCCTCTCCCCTTTAGGAAGAATCCATTAACCCAATGAGTCAATGTGACCTAGTTGCAAAGAAGGCTGATATCACACTATGTTATCAGCAGTGTTGTACAGGAGGTAATTGTCTTGCTCTACTCAGCCTTGATGAGGTCTCATTTGGAGTACTGTGTCCAGTTCTGAGTGTACCATTCTAGGAAAGATAAGAACAAATGGAAGAGAGTCTAGAGGACAGCAACAAAAATGATGGAAGAGGAAAAACTGAAAAAAAACTGGGCATATTTAATCTAAGGAACTCCTCTCTTGTACCCATTTCACCCATACACCCTCCTAACAGCTCCTCATTGGCTATTGCCCAGCCCTATAAGCTGCTGGAAAATTAAGACTTATTAGTACCTGAGCATGAATGACTTATCTAGATATGGGGTGTCAGGCCAGTGATACCTAAAGGAGGTGGCAGTGAAGGCCTGGCAAACCCCATCACATATCCCTTTTTATGTTATGCTCCTAGATCATCGATATCCATGATCTTTTGCTTCCTGGCATACTTAGCTCCACTACCCAAGTGGTTGACTTGAATGATGCATCAGAAATAAAGCTCTTTGCCACCAGACCTCTTGAACTCACCTTGATTCTCCACCTCACAAATCCGTGTTGACTGTCTGTACATTTGTGGTAGAACGAATGCTCTGTGAGAAAGGCCTCTGCTTGTACCTGGCTTGCTCTATCCATGCCTCTCGATAGGCCATGATCACAGCTGGCAACACGTTGTCCTGTGTTTGTGGCACCTTCTGGCACACACTGAGTAAGGACTTGAGCTCTGAGCGGAAGCTCTCGTTCAGCCAGCAGTAAATGAAGGGATTGTAACAAGTGCTGCTCATGGCAAACCAGTGCAGAGCGAAATAGAGGGAGTTCTTGGTCTTAATGCCAAGGCTGGAGATGAGCACCACATAACAGTTGAGTGGAAACCAGCAGACAGCAAAGACCACCACAACCAACATCAGCATCTTGATGCTCTTCTTCTTGTTCTTGTGGTGGGTGATGTACTGCTGCGTAGTGATGTCCCCAATGGCATTGCGCAGCCACAGCTTCTTGGCGAGGCGCGTGTATGTGATGGTGATGATTAGAAGAGGCAAGAGGTAGAGGAGGAGGAAGGTGGAAAGGTCTAAGTATTTCCACACCAGCTCTGCAGGCTCAGGAAAATCAGGAAGACACAGACTTCGGACAGTAGCTTCCCTTTCAAAACAAAGAAGTATTTATACAGTATGTGGCCACAAAAACCTCCAAGCAAATCTCTACAATTCTCAAACCACTGTTGGACTTTCAGACCACAATATATAAGGCCTGAACACTGCACTTGTGGACATCACAGAGTATGTGTAACATCGCCACATAGGGTTCAATCTGCTATCATTGCATACACTGAACCATACCTCAGTATACAAACAGCCTGATTGTAATCAATGTGACTACCCCACTAGTGAAGCACTACCAGATGGAAGGAGGCAGAACCTCGTTCATAGTCACTAATTTCCTTCAAAGGTGAAGAAGTACCTCCCCACCTCCGTCTTTCATGTTGCCCCACTTCCAACCCTCCTTCCCCTACTAGAAAAACACAAATTACGGATGTGGCTCCCTGTAACTAGATACTGTAACACTGACGGCAAGATGGCTGTGCGCATTCCTTATTACCCCAGCTTTGTGTTTGTGATACGTCTCCCTTCCCCATATCCCTCTCAGTTGTTTGGGTGTTTGTGCCACTTGAGTCTTGTTTGAGCCCCTTGGATTTTGTAAGTGAAAGATGCTTGACAGACAAGTGCTATAAAATGCCAGATGATAATTAAGAGATGGGGAAGTGGGGTGGCTAACCATGCAGCACAGATTTTGAAACTGGATATGCAGTATGCAGAAGTGTGGCAACAGTGTGTGTGTGTGTGTGTGCAGGTGTGTATGTGTGAGGGGAGTGCTGTGCAATTTTGATGATGGTACGTTTAGGAAGAGCTGCAAAAAAGTAACAAAATGCTACTTCTCTAAGGCTTTCCAGCCAACAATTTCCAAACAGATTGCTGATGTTAATCAAATGCTCATCACCACTCTGTATTAAATGAATATAATTATCCTGGTATTGTACTTCTGTCTATTCATATCTTACGTGTCTGTGTGCCTCTTTTCTAATCACTTTCAAGGTGCTTAGCGAAGCTGGGGACACATCATTACTACCATATTATAAAAGAAGTAACTGATGCATAGAGGCTATTGGGACAACACCTAGAATTAATTTGGCACATGCTGCTTAATTTAGATACAAGTCCACATATGTAAGGGTATGTCTACACATAATGTAATGTAATGTAATCATTTGCATGAAGCCGGCATTTAAAAATGGTGCCGGCTGGCTTCATTTGCAAGTGCAGATGACTACATTACCCCCGCTAGTTCGAACTAGCGGGGGTAATGTAGTCATCTGCACTTGCAAATGAAGCCCGGAATTTGAATTTCCTGGGCTTCATTTGCATGAAGCCGGCATTTAAAAAGGCCCCCAGCCGGCTTCATGCAAATGAAGCCCAGGAAATTCAAATTCCGGGCTTCATTTGCAAGTGCAGATGACTACATTACCCCCGCTAGTTCGAACTAGCGGGGGTAATGTAGTCATCTGCACTTGCAAATGAAGCCCGGAATTTGAATTTCCTGGGCTTCATTTGCATGAAGCCGGCATTTAAAAAGGCCCCCAGCCGGCTTCATGCAAATGAAGCCCAGGAAATTCAAATTCCGGGCTTCATTTGCAAGTGCGGATGATTACATTACATTACATTATGTGTAGACATACCCTAAATTAGTATGAATATTATCTGCTGTTACACTAGCTAAGATAAACATGCTAATGGTGTAAACTGTTACTAGCTGATGTCACCACTAGGGATGTAAGCAACTAGTAGACTATCCATTAAGCATATGTTTAATTGGATAATCGACTAGTGACTCGACTAGTCGCTCCCCATACTCCTTGGTGCCTCAGAACAGGAGCCGGTGCTGGGGGGAGCCAACTTAAAAGCTGGTTCCCCAAAGCACTGTCTCCATGGGGTGGTGGGCAGGGGCACAGCAGGGAACTGGCTTTGCTTTTGCCTTTGAAATGTAGCAAAAGCAGGGCACCGCGGGAGCAGGGGATGAGTGGGGGACTCCAGCAGTCCCCCACTGGCCCTGAGCTCCCTGCTTTTGAAATATACAAGAGCCCTGGGACTCTTGTACTCTTCAAAAGCAGGGAGCGTGGGGCCAGAGGGGAACTGCTTGAATCCTCCACTGGCCCTGTGCACCCTCCTCATGCTTTGCTTTTGAAATGTACAAGAGCCGGCAAGGAGCACGGAGCCAGCCCTATGCTCCCTGTGGCGCTTCCGCCTTTGAAATGTAGCAAGAGCCGGTAGGACTCCTGCTGCATTTCAAAGATGGAGGAGCCCTTATTGACTAATCAAATAGTTGATGCAAATTGCATTGACTATTCGATTAGTTGATTAATCTAAATTTAACATCCTTAGTCACCATATAGTATAGCGCTCTGGGATGTTTAAACTTTCCTCTGAAGCATCCAGCACTGGCTACTAGTGGAGGCAGACCATCCCAGCAGATGGCTATTAATAGAGGCTTGCATGGATACAAAATTTGTATTCGCATCTGCACCTGCAAAAATGATCCATAGATATCTGCATCTGCGGATGCAGATACCCGTTGATATAATGTGACTATCTGCAATTTTGCAAGATTCTAGATACAACACTTGTATCTGCATCCACATCCATACCCACAATGAGCTATGGATATCCACTTCTGTGGATATCTGCAGATATAAAGCAGATATCCACAAATTTGCAAGGTTCTAGCTGCAAACTTTGTACCTGCATCCACATCCATATCCACAAAAATGAGCTGCAGGTATCTGCATCCATATCTATGAATGCGGATACGCATGGATATAAAGCAAATACCCGCAGATTTGAAGGGCTTTAGCCATTAGTGTGTTTCATTGTAATACAAAGGGAAGGAAGATCCAGCATGCTCATGCTAATGTTCACATGAAGTGGAAGATGTTGGATGTCTGATTCTATTAGATTCTCATCCTGACCAAGTTGAGCAGCATTTTAGAAAAGTTTTAGACTAAATCGAGTTCTTGTCTCCGATGGGGCCTTTCTGTCATCCTAGCATGTGCTCTCTTTTGTATTGAGGTCCACATGCCCATTAAGGGTGTGTAGCAAATTGTGTAGCTTATTTCGTAATTTGGCGCTATCTACACAGCACAAAATTTCAAAATAACCCGCTATTCCAAAATGGCCCTTACTCCTCGTAGAACAAGGTTTACAGGGACGTCAGAATAGAGATCCCGTAATATTTCAAAATAATGGGCATGCTGTTAAGATGCAGGGATAGCTATTTCAGGATACCTCTGGTCTACTCTGTGGAGCTAAGTGAAAGACGTGCTTTGTGAGGGCTGCTTTTTCTGAATGTTGCATTATTCTAAACAAGAACTATTAATGAAACCAAAATCTTCTCTTGGAAGCCATTGCTGAGAAATGGGCAATTTTGTTTGTCATGGCATGAGGTGTGTCTTCACAATCTCTGCAATAAGGCAAAGAGAAACTCGGTGGGCCCGTATTTTATAAACAAGGTATCAAAGGCTGGCTTAAAGCAAGTAACTGCAAAGAAAAGAGAGTTCCATGCAGGATATCTTACAAGAGTCACAAGGACAATGCCCCATCAGACCATAGTATGAATCACTACAAAACCCTCCCATTCATTTTTCAGACTACTCCCCTCCCCCAAAAACGGAAAAACAGAAGCTAGGAATCTGTAATAACCCACACTGTGGGTTCCACCCTAATAACTCCCCACTCCTCTCCAAGCTCACAGGTGTTACCTGTTAATCTAACCCTATCTGATAAGCAACTTTCTATTAATATAAGTCAAACAATTTCTCAGTGCCCCCCTCCTCAACCAGGAAGGGCTGAGTTTCCATAGACCAATAAGTACATGGAACTGGAATTGATGAACTATTAAGGGAGATGATGATGTACTCATTTATTCCTCGGGTGTTTTAGACCCATTTTTTCTGTCTCTCTCCCCTCCTGCTTTGTCTCTCTCTGCCTATCTCTTCCTACCTCCATCTGCAGTCATTGAAGACTTCTTAATCACTGTCAGATGACTGTATTCTCCACAGCTTGATTAATATCTTTAATATCCTGTTGTCAACCCCCTGCACTGATTATTATGCCATTAATAAAAGACCCTCAAGAACTGACTGCTGTGAATGTGGGATGACTGCAGTCCATAGGGGAGTATCATACCAGATGGGTGACTACAAGGATTTTGGATTTTTAGGACTTAGAAAAAGCAGAATTCAAGAGAGTCAGCAAATTTAAGGCCAGAAAAAACTGTCACTGTTTAGGGCAACTGCACTTGGATTCCCCTGCTAGTGTTGTCTCTCTTGAGTGGATCTGACTGGGGTTTTCCCAGGCTAGATAGTTCCATTGCCTCAAACTCTGGGTCATGGCTTATAAGGGCAAGTGGCTAGCTGGTCACAAGATGCTTTGTTTACTTGTGCTCTGCAGTACGGGTGATTGCAGCTCCCATTGGTTGGGAACAGCAATCCACAGCCAACAGGAGCTATACCTGCGGAGGCGTAAGTAACAAAGCACCTTCTGCCCAGCTAGCCACTTGCCCTTATAAACCACAACACAGAGTTTGAAAATCCCTGGGTCAAAGGTATCACCTATGATCTTGACCTTGCCCCCGAGCACAACAGTCCTTAGGTCCATCACCACATCCTGTTCCATGATACAATGCTTTGATGTTGGGATCCTAAAGCCACAATTTTGCACTAAGTCCTCAATAGCTTCTGCCCCTCTGTGTTGCCTAAATTGCAGGTGTCACTCTGAGTTGGATTTACATGCCTTTTGCTGGACTGATCTTTGCTTCTTAATCTTGCCCCAGTGCCCATGGAGTAGTAATCTCACATAACAGGAGAAGTAGTTCAGGGCTTAACTAGGAAGAGACAACTGCTAGGTCTGGGCTTCCACATGGTAGACTAGATATCTTATCTTGAAATAAGATGCAAAATGTCTTTGGAATCTCCCCCCGAAGGAGTGAGGAGGGAAACATTTATGGATTTTGTTATGCCAGATTCCAGCTTGGATTCTTCCTCTTCTTCTGGGTGTGAAGTGTCACTTGATCTCTTTCACATTTGCCCAGCAAACAGCACTCATCTCCTCTTCTTCACAGTGAAATCACCCAGACAAAGTGGCATTCACAAGCAAGGTTTTGTTTTCCTGCAGCATCACCAGACCTCTAAAAAGCATCGCCACTTGATATTGCATGTCAGGGTGAAGTGCTTGTCGGAGGTGCCTATTTATCTAACAAGTGAAACCACAGACACTGAAGTCTCGCTCATTGAGTGAGTCAGCCCCTGGGGCTCTGCCTGCTGAGGTTTGCTCTCCCGGAGATCAGCAGGAGAAGGCTTTATTCTTTAATGCAGGGGCCCTACATCACTCTAAGCCTGGCTTAGACATTATCTACGTAAGTACCAGGCATGTGTGCACAGAGCTGCTAGAACAATCTGTACAGTGGGGAGTGCTGAGAGCCACTGATCCAAACTGTAAACCCTGGATATAACCCTCTTCAAGCCTGGGGGTGCTGCCGCACCTCCCACACCCCTAGTCCCAACACCTCTGGATGAGTGTAACCCACACACCTAGTGTGGTTACCATGCAGTGGCACCTAGACCACAGCAACACATAAGACCAAGAGACCTCTACAGCATGGGCTGGGAGGCAGCTGGCTTTTAGCTCAGAGGGTAGCAGCTTCTATACTCTGCTTCAGAGGTCCCAGGTTAAAATCCACCTGCTGGTGGTTACATGTGCATGTGTCATCCTCACAAGAATACAGCTTGTTGGGGGGTCTGCTTAGGAACAAAAAAGTAAACGGGGAAACCAGCTGCACTGTAGCTAAAATGGCCCTTTGGCAGTGAATCTGGGACTGACAGAAACCACACAATAGCTGTAAGTGTTTCAGCTATTCCAGAAAACTAAGGCCCTGAACAGCGGTGTTCACTAAAGTTCCAAAGGCCCTAAGTTTTACAATGGGCCAGCTGTCTTGGCGAAACTCCATTTTGGGTAATCGCAGTGGCCCACATCCTCAAGGCCCTGACAGCCATTAAAAACAATGATAGTGAGGTGCCTTAAAACCTTTGAGAATCTTGGCCGTTCTGTGGATGTGAAACTCCCTGTGCATTGTCAACTGGACAGTGTCTATCCTGCTTCGTATCAGCTGCCGCTTCCCACCTGAACAGAATAGTGGGAGAAGCGATTCTTCTGAACAACAGTGTAAAGAGCCATGGGGTCAAAGAAGCGACTTACCGGTAGTTGTACTGGAAAAGCTTCTGATAGATGGCGTGGGGCAGGGAGAAGCAGGCTGCCATCAGCCAGATAACAGAAATGCTAAGTGCTCCTCTTGTTAGTGACATCCTTTGCTTTAGTGGGTTCAGAATGACCTGCAAGAGAGACTTCACAGTGACTGTCAACCTCACCAGGAAAGCAAAGTCCCTTCGTGGTTGCTGCTATTTTTCTTAACATGTTTCAGTGATTTTAAGAACATCACTGAATACCAGGCCCGTCAATGGGAGTGCATAAGGGGAAAAGGGGGCAGTTGCCCTGGGGCTTAGCAATTCAGAAGGGTTCGGGGCTCCCAACTGCTATTACCACAGGAGCAGCAGCGGCCCTTAAATGATCGCCAGAGCACGGTGCAGCGCACTCTGGGTGGGTTCTCAGGGCTGGCGTGGGGGCGAGGAGAAAGTCCAGTGCAGCACACTGTAGGTGGTGTTGTGGACAGGCTGCCCCTTCTCACCCGCCTCTTTTGGGAGAATGGAGTTGCTCCCTCACCCATCTTGCCCAAGGGCCCAGCAATTCTGTCAGCTCCATACTGAATACTCAGAGAGATGCCTAACTAATCAGAGCAATCTAGAGTACATGGGAACATACCAATCTACCACTGGTAGCAAAAGACACCGCCAAGTCAATTTTCTCTGGTTAGTCTTGAGAATCAGTCATACCTTAGACCATGACTGAGCAGTGACAAGTCAATAAGATTAACTCCACCTCAAAAGGATGTTTATTCTAAATAAATCAGATTAAGAAATGCTTCACATTATAATTGAGGCAACAGAGCACACCTGTCTTTGGTAATTTGAATTTTCACACCAAGTATACTGAGCTCTTCACTTTTTGATATTACTTGTGAAGAATTTCCAGGATTGGCAGATCCCTAATTGTCTGAGATCAATGAAAGTTTTCTACAGGGAAGGGACATTATTGGCATGTTCCTATTTTCTCTCTACATAAAAGTGACAAGCTGATGCCAATGGCTATAGGTGAGAGTAACACAGGCAGATGCTGTATAATCTCTACTCTTAGCTCTCACTTGCCCTCTCAGTGCTGTCTTGTGACACTCCCACCTTACTGAAGTTCTGGACTCCCCTTTGCTTAGCATCTGTGCCCAAAGAATTTTGCCCTCATCTGGGGATTCGGTACCTGATGTCGGTCCAGGGCTATGGCTGTCAGGGTGAGCGTGGAGACGTGAAGAGAGCAGTACTGCACAAAGCGGCTGATATGACACATGGCCTTTCCAAAGACCCACGTGCTGTTCACAAACCGAACCTGCAGGGAATGTAACAAACCATTAAAACCATCAGCAGGGCAAAGTGGTTCATGCAGCAGAGTCAAACAAACAGAGGCACTCTTGGGACCAGTGGTCCCACTAAGATTTTCCATCTGTGAACCGAGTGAGTTTTGTCTTGTGTACCAATAATGAGGTCACATGAGCTTGTTCGGATGTGCACTGCCATGGCACCCACCAGTTACTAACAAAATATGTATATAAATTGATATGGAAGAAAGCCTCACTTACTGTGCAGATGCATTAGCTCCTGCCCTATCTTCTGCCTTGTTACACAGCTAGCTCCCATCTCCTCCTCCCCTCCCACTGCTTCCCCCTGCCTTCAGCTGCCCCCAGCAAACACTGAGCAGGCTCTCATGCGAGTAGCAAGAAGAGCCCAGCAGCAGCTCCACCTCCCTTAGATTCCATTACTGCCACTTCCCACCCTGCAGCTGGGCCCCAGGGGGCTTGGACAGGCTTTGGGATGGACCCTGGGAACAAGCATCTCATCAGCACTGGGCCTGTGTCTCTTCCGGGAGGCTGCGGCCAGAGCCCTGGGAGAATCCCTGTCCTGTCTAATGCAATGGGCTGTGGCAAAGGTGCTTCTTGGCCACTCCTGGTGACTTATGCTCCAGCCTGACTGGCTGCCTGGAACCAAATGTCCTGGGTATTTGTGGGGGGAGGGGTTGTTCTGCAGTGTGGAATAGTTCTTTGGTTTTCCACATGGCGGGGAGGGAGAGGACAGCCCCTGGCCAGAGCTGTGGGGGTGCTGCCTGGGGAAGATGTGTGAGAGTCCAGGCCCAATATACACTGGAATATTTATGACACTGATATGGACCAGTGGGTTGGAACACCCTGCCTGGCCTGCAGCCTCCTCCAGACACTACATAATCACTGCATTCCCCCCGCCTCTCTGCTGCTTAGGTCTTTCTGGCCAGAGGCCAGGTCAATAAACCACCCCAAGTCAGGCAAAAAAAAAAAAAAATCCCACGAGGCAGTCGCCACCCACTAGCCCCGCCCCCAATCCCTAGCGACAGAGGAAGCATCCACCTCCCAACATGTTCTTGGCTCCAGCACCAGCTAGAGCAGCTGTCCCCCACCCTCCAATGGGGCCTTGACCCTGTCCTCGACCCCGTTTGCCATGCAGCCCCACCCCCAGTGTGGCAGCTGCTGGAGCCAGGACTGCAGTACTACAAATAGCACCACGGCCCCGGCGCAAGTCCTGGCACATGCACGTTGTGTGTGCTGGGAGTCAGACCAAGGCCACGGTGATTGTGGTCCCAGCCCCAGTAGCTACCATGCAGCCGCAGCCTCAGCTGCTCCCACGCTGGGGATGGGCTTGCATGGCAAATGGGGTCAGGGACAGGATCAATGCAGGGTCCCATGCTATTTTTAGTACCGAGGCCCAGGCTCCAGGTCCTGCAGCCACCACATGGGCTGCGTGGTGGCTGCTCAGCTGTTCCTTGGGCAGGGCAGCCACACACTGCACAGCCCCACCCCCACAAGCAGCTGGGGTTGTAGTTGCATGGCTCTGCCAAGGGGGAGGAGGGCCTGAAATTCTTGGTGCACACCCAACGAGTACCTTTCAGCAAACCCTGCTTGAGACTGCTTGTGGAGAGTTCAAGAACATACATGACTTTTCGGTGCCTTCCATCACTTGGGGCAGGTTTCATTTGAAGCCCAAGAAAACCTATGGTCAACTTCAGAAACTGAAACTCCTTGGGTACGTCTAGACTACACCTCTCTGTCGACAGAGAGATGTAGATTAGGCATGTCGAAATTGCTAATGAAGCAGGGATTTAAATATCCCATGCAACATTAGCATAAACATGGCCGCTGCTTTTTTTCTAAACGAAGCTTTTTTGGGAAAAAAAAAAAAAGACAGTCTAGATGCAGATTTTTTTTAAAAGGAGATTGCCTATCTCCCAGAACTGGAAGGGACCTTGAAAGGTCATTGAGTCCAGTCCTCTGCCTTCACAGTAGGACCAAGTATCATCCCTGACAAATTTCTGCCCCAAATCCCTACATGGCCTCTGCAAGGATTGAAATCATAACCCTGGGTTTAGCAGGCCAATGCTCAAACCACAGAGCTATCCCTCCCCCCTTTTTTGACAGATCCTGTAAACCTCATTTTTGAGGAATACGGGATCTGTAGAAAAAGGGTTTATTTTCGACAGATCCGTGTCTAGACTGCTATTTTTTTCGAAAAAGTTTGAAAAAAAGTGGTGGCCATGTTTATGCTAATGAAGCATGGGATATTTAAATCCCTGCTCATTAGCAATTTCGACGTGCCTAATCTACATCTCTCTGTCGACAGATAGGTGCAGTCTAGACACAGCCCCAGGTAATAGTTTTTAAAGGTTAAGATTGGAATTCCAGTCATTTTGCCAAAGAGCAACTTCTAGGAGCGTCACGCCTACCTTAGAGCCTTCTAAAGGGTTGAGCCTGTAAATCATAGCACCTCACTTGTGTCTACATCCAAAATAACTCCAGTGGAAGTACTTTCTGTCTCATGGAAGCCCTAGCGCATTCTAGTGGTTCAATGGCAATAGAAGTTGATGTTATTGGCATTCATTTTGGATTTGGAAAGACCAAGCAGGTGTGAGGCAAGAGAGACCTGTTTATTTACTTGGCAGAGCTGCTGTCTATCAGCCATGACTGTGCTCAGTCCAAATCTCAGCCCCAGATGCATTCACAGAGTGCAGGTACCAAATGGAGCACTGGTCTAGATGGCCATGCCCATGCCTAGCTCCATTTTTGGGAGGCACAGTGGCACAGCATGTGGCACTTACCAGAGTGAAAGGAGTGTTGAGCAGGGTGATCATAATATCAGACACTGCCAGATTGATGATGAAGAGGCTGGTGGCCGAGTGCATCCTCTTGTTCTTGATCACCACGTGGCAGACCAGCATGTTGCCAAAGAGGGACATGATGATAATAACTGAGTATGCCACAATTAGAAGAGCTTTCACTGTGGGTTTCTGAGATTCTGGTTCATACTTGGCCAACTCAGCAAACTTCTCCCACTCAACAATCCTGCTGTCTGTCCAGTTGAAGGCTGTCCTGTTGGCTGCTTGGTAGATTGACATGAACTTGGCCAAGGAAGAGCTATGGTCAAACTCCTCCAGAACTCCTGTGACCTGGGGAAAATAGGGAAGCGACTGCAGGGGGCGAGTCATTGTGGTTTCCAATGAGTTAAGCTAAGAACAGCTCCAGGAATATGGTTAGTGATTGTTTGACTTTGGAGATGCTGAGGCTGAGAGGATGCAGTCAACATTAGCAAAAGCCATCCTTGAAAATATAAAGTTAGGGAGAGGCTACAGAGCACAATAAATTCTCCAGTGCAGTCAGAAATGCAGCAGTGTCTTGTTTAACTCTCACATGCAGAGAGGAAGGGAACTGTGAGGGACTGCAGATTCTCTTTTGCGTGGTAAAAATTGTATTTGCCACTAAGACAGTGGGGGAGGGTGGGGGGGGGGGAATCCCCAACTACATAAAGCAAACCAATAACAAATTCTGGGGGTAATGCTAATCTTGGATCATATTTGGCACTGTCCTACTCCTGCTTCAGCTTCTCTTCTTGTTCTGAACTGCACTTATGGTTCTTCCACCCTTCTCTTCTGAGGCACTTTTGTGTTCATCCTCATTTCTTTATTTCCAGCCACCCTACTCTTCTCTGTTGAAATGAAATTCACAGCCATTTCAAGTACTGTCTTTAAGTGCATAAATAGCTGTTCTCTTCAGCTAACCATGATAATTGTCCGGAGAGAGTATTCAAAACCTGTGAATTATATCAGAATGTTATAAGCTATTTTGCAATTTTCTCTTCCACACAATAGCTGTGCATTCTGCTTCCACTCTTTCATTTTTTATGGTAAATTATTTTTTCAGCTAAAGACCAACCGATATCACATACAAATAAACAATTATATAAATGTAGAAGGGCTTTAACATTCCTCTATACTCAAAATCTTAACTCTTAAAATCTTTGAGCTCCCCTCTAAGAGGTATAACCCGATATTACCCGATATTCCTGGCAATTGATTGCAATTAGCAGAAAGCTATACAATTTTTTGTATGCTGCTGACTAACAGGGGTGGTGCCATGGCATAAAGACCGTTGTTGGCAGGAGTTACTTAACAATGTCTCACTACCATGAATTATTCATGTGCTATATATCTACACATTAGAAAGCAAGTAATTGTAAAGTGTTACTGACTTCTTAAAAGTAAAAGTTGCATCAATGTTATTTTGAATATCCCTCTGCCTGTGAAACTTGATCTCTTTCACTATTGTAAGTGCAAATCAAGAGACCTAAGAGGAAAGGAAATTATAACCAATTCTTCTGGAAAACTTTGAAATTTCCCCAAAATAGCTTTCAGTACATTTGAATAGCACACATTGAAGGACTGTGTACTTCACATGCTTCAAACACTAAGCTGTAAATCATTGGGCAAAAGAGGTTTCTGGCTTTCTAATGGTACAAAGAACAAGATTGTGTACTTCACACGTCACCCATCTATTGGCAGTACTGTGCCAGGGTAACCTGCAAAGAAGGAACACTTCGTCGGCACACTGAGTGTGGATTTTTTTTTTTTTTTTAAGTGGCAGCTGTTTGAAGTGGCTCAAATGTTTGTAAGTGGGAAAATATTCTCAGTAGGTTTTGAATAGTACACAGAGGTCAGGGGAGGCAGCAAATAGTTAAGAAAAAAGTAACTTATGACATGGAACTCATCTCTACTCACACACTTCTTATAACCCTATATTTTCCAGATAGTCTAGTAAGAGGCAGTAGAGTGAATAATTTGTACACTCACTGATGGTCCACTTCCCCAGGCACAGTACTGTATACCGTATTAGACATGCTGGTACAATGGGTGGTGGGTTAGTGAAATGAAATGGCTAGTGTCTATATGTAACCTGCATATTTAGGCTACATCTATACTGCTTCCTTCTTGAGCAAAAGCCTATGCAAATGAAGTGTGGATTAGCATATTGCCACACTTCATTTGCATAATTAATTGGGGCCATTTTTGCGCAAGAGGCTTTTGAAAAAATGAGGAAGAATGGCTCTTGTGCAAGAGGGGGTTTTTGCACAAAAAGGAAGCAGTATAGACATAATCTTAGTGTGGTTCACTGTCCCATGTAGTGGCACTTACAGCTCTACAGTGATAAGAACAAGGGAGTTCTGCAGCCTAAATTGAGAGGCAGCTGGCTTTTAGCGGCTGCTATACAAAGGTTTCAGGTTCAAATCTGGCCAGTGGTGGCTACAAACAGGGACTCATCTGGGATCTCAACTGGTTCTCTGGAGCTCAGGATGTGCTTGCTCAGCTAAGGGAAGTATGTAACCACACACCTGAGAGCTTGTAACTGCCACCAGGTGGATTTGAACCTGAGACCTCTACAGCTTGAGTTATAAAGCCAGTTGGCTCCCAGCTTAGGCTGTAGAGCTCCCTTGTTCTTATTGCTTGCTGTAAGAGGTCAAAGTGCCACTACATGGGACAGTGAACCACACTAGGTATGTGGGTTGCATATAGGTAATTCTCCCTTTGAGGTGGTCACTTTAGCTCCATCTTCAGGCACCGTGTAAGAGCAGTTCATGCGGGAAGTTTACACTGCACTGTATCTGCTTGGAGGATAAATAAGCACTCAGTCTGAGGCAGGCCTGCCTATCTGGCATATTTCACCACCCACTGACCTCTGTGATAAATGTTAAGGAGAAATGTGCGAACACAGAACAACTGTAAATCTCAAATGCAGTCAATAAAAGCTTGTGGAAAGCAAGAATTCTAAAGCTTTGCGTTCCTTTGGTTGTTTCCAATAAATGTTGCCCATAGTGGGGTTGAAGGAGGGGAATTTCTTGCCCTGTGTTTCTGACCCTTTCACCAAACTGACCAAATCCACCATCTTGTATTTCTACAGCTGTCAGCCAGTTCTGGGGGATACAGCTGTTTGTTCCCAGAGGATATTTCTTGCTCACTGTATACACTAAGGATGTTAAATGTCAATTAATTAACTAATTGAATAGTTAATGGGATTTCCATCAACTATTCGATTAGTCGATAAGGACTGGCGCGCGTTCTGCCTGTGAAATGTACAAGAGCCCCAGCGGGGGCTCTTGTGCATTTCAAAGATAGAAATGCTGCATGGAGCCTGGGGCCAGCAGGGAGTCCCCTACTGACCCCAGGCTCCATGCGGAGCTTCTGCTTTGAAATGTATGAGAGCCCCAATGGGGGCTTTTGTACATTTCAAGGTTGGAATGCCACATGGCACCCGAGGACATTGGGGAGTCCCCCATTGACTCCAGACTCCATGGGTGGTTAGAACATAAGAATGGCCATACGGGGTCAGACCAAAGATCCATCTAGCCCAGTAGCCTGTCTGACGACAGTGGCCAACACCAGGTGCCCCAGAGGGGGTGGACCAAAGACAATGATCAAGCGATTTGTCGCCTGCCATCCTTCTCCAGCCCCTGACAAACAGAGGCAAGGGACACCAATGGAGGCTCTTGTACATTTCAAAGTGGAAGTGCCCGCATGGAAACCAAGCTGACTCTGAGTCTCCCGCTGACTCTGGGATCCACATGGCGTTTCAATCTTTGAAGTGTACAATAGCCCCCACTAGGACTCTTGTACATTTCAAAGCAGAAGCTCCATAGCGTTTCAGTCTTTGAAATGCACAAGATCCCCTGCTGGGGCTCTTGTACATTTCAAAGGGGAAGCACCACCACTGCACCCCTTTTCCATCCCAAGGAGCTGGAGCTGGGGGGAACTGGCTTTTAATCCCTCTCCCCGCAGTACCTGCTCCTCTTCCCCCCTTGCAGCAAGGGAGGGAGGTGACTAATCGACTAATGTGTCAACTATCCGATAAGCTTTTGCTATCAGTAATAGAAATCACTGTGATTGCACCATTTATTTACTTAGAGTGCTACAACTATGGACCCAAATGATGCCAGGAGCTCTACAGGGGCTGATCCTATGTCTACTGTGATGGAGTGGAGACCCCACACAGCCTGGAAGGGGTTAAAGTTGCAAGGAAGCCAATTAATTCCACAGGCTTCATCTAAACAATGAGCCAGGGAGCTAATTGGAAGCAGGCTCAGCTGGACAGGAACAGGCATGTCTTCTATAAAGCCAGTCAGCTGTCAAAAGGGGCTGCTGGGAGATAGTCACTTTCTGAATGGAGGGAGTTAGCAAACTCACAGAGAGGGTGGTAGCCAGGAAGGTAGGTGAAGGCTTAGGAGAATTGCAGCAAGAAATAGGAGTGCAGGCCTTGGTTGCTGACCACACGGTCCCTGACCTGTAACTTGGAAGAAAGGATGAGCATGGGTTCTCCTGCCAACCACTGGGGATGTGGCACCAACCAGGCAAGGGACAGTGGATTGCCTAGAATGGCTTGTCCTGGAAAGACTTTTTTACATGTCCCCCTCATGGGGCTATTTTATGGTAGCCTTGCTGGAGTCCTGGTTCCTAGAGTGAGAGATGTCCAGCATCCACAGGGCAAGAGAATGCTGGGAGAAACAGCTCCAGTGAAGGGTTCAATACCTGGCCAGAGCTCATCCCCAGGCTAGCTGAGAGGAGGAACCACTAATAGGGAATCACCCACACCTGTGGCTTGTTTTCCAAGGGAATCACCCAGACTGTGAAACCTACCAAACTCCATGCAGCACTGGGATTCTAGTAGCAGGTATTCCCTGCTCTGAAAATACACATGCCTTCTAGTAGACAAGACACAGGATAACAGCAGAGGGCAGGTGGTTGTGAGGCTTATGGATGAATGAAAGGACTGATGTAAGGAGTAGGTTAGAAGGGATATGGAGGAAGAGCAAGAGGGTGCATGACTAATGAGAAGAGGAAGAATCTCTAGCACAGGCCTGGATAAAATACTGTCCGTGCACCAAGCCACCAGATCCAGCCCATGGATGCTGCGGGGAGCCCCAAGCAGGCTCTCTGCTTGCCTCACCCCATCTGCGCACAGCTTAGAAACACAGTTGCGGGGTGGTTTTACTTTAAAAACTGAGCCCAGAGGGGAAGAGGGAAAGCTTTAGGAGCTACTCCCACCTACAGCACAATTTCATTGTCTAGCTTCTGGCCAGAAACCGTCTATTTGGAGCTGCCTGTTTCAATAACAGGCAGCCATGAAGGACAAGGGGCTCCTAGTTATTCACAGAGCACATGGCTAAAGCCTATGCAGGGGCAGGGCAGGGAGGGAGGCTGATTCAGGAACAAGCTGCTGGTGGGTAAGTCTCCTGCCCAGACCCTGCCTCTAGCATCCTAGCCCCGCCCTTCATCAACCTTCTGCCCCCCACTCCTGCCCCCTTACTCCACATACCCAAATCCTCTGTCCCCCTCTGCACCCATACCCCCTCCCAGATCTGGCATCCTAATCCCCTGCCTCAGATCACAGTCCTCGCCTGCCCTAACTCACAACCCAAACCCCTGCACCTCCTCCTCTACCCCAATTCCCTGCCCTAGGTCACAATCCAACCCTCTGCACCACAGTCCATTGCCCCAGGTCACAACTGACTCATCACTCAAATTCCCTCCCTTACCCTAGGCTCCCTTCTACACCTAACCTCTGTCCCAGACCCCGCAGTTCCTCCATTAATATCATGGAAGAATGCAGCCCTTGATCACTTTCCAAAATCTTGGAGTGGCCTACTGTCAAAAATTATCGCCCTCCACCGCTCTAGCATGTGAGAGAACAGGCTGGAGACAGGAAGTCAAAATGGGAAGAAAGGAAGGCTACAAGGCAATAGAAGGGAATAGTATTAATTTTTCATGGTCATGTCCTAGCTCCTGAAAGCCTACTACTTTCAGGCTAGTTAAAATGAGTCTCTTTGAGTGTCATGGTTCAGCATTAAGACATTGCTTCGGTGAATCATGTACATTATCCCAGGACGTCATCTTTTATAGGCAGCAGCTCCGTTGGGTGAACCAAAATACAGGCTATCTTGGACCTAGGTGGTGGGAACTGTGCTTAGTTTCAGCCAGAGCTTTCCCTATGTATAACTTTCAGAATCAGGCGTTGGGATAGTGTTGTGTCTGATGGGGAGGGTTTTGCTTGTGGCTGATGCACAACTGCTTCGCCCCTCTGTCACTGAAGGTGTGCATGTAGTGGAGCTCTGTTTGGTCCTGACAAAATTGGACAATGCTGACTGAAATGAGGGTGTGGCTTTGTCTGCATGTCTGAAACACCTAGGGATTAAGAGGGAATGTGGCCCCACACCCCCCCCCCCCCCCCCCCTTTCCTTAGTGTCTGTCTGAGTTTCTAGAAAATCTCTTGGGACAGTGTTAAGGATGGTCTCTAAAAAGCAATGACTACAAAAGCAGGTCTTGCAAGGAAGTATCCAAGAGACTGAGGGAAGCATGAATCCTGAAAACAGTTCATTGAACGCACTTTCCTGCCCACTAAATTGTTCACGAGAGAATGACAGGCTATAGGAAATGGCCAAGAGCTTTTAGCTGTTGTAATATGGCAAAAAAAAAGTCCACCAAATATGACTATTTTCTGAACACTGAAATAATACTGGGGGTGTGGTTAGCCTTTGAATGTGGTGGTGGTGTGCTTTTGCATGGTGTAAGAGCCCATTCAATGAAACTGAAAGGCAGTAGATGTCAAGCTGAGAAAAGCAGAACCTTTTTCTACAAAAGACATAATTAGCCCACGAAACTTGTGTAACAAGATATCCTTGAGGCCAAGAACTTAGCAGGATTCTAAAAGGACTGGGTATCTATATGGATGAGTGTTCAGATTTACATTTAGTACAGATTGTAAAAAGAGCGTGTGGAAAGGATATGAGTCCAGCAGTAACGTCAATGTAGTCAGTTCCTTGTTATATTCTGCAACACTCTGCTCCCCTTTCAGTGATAGAAATGTAGCCGTGTTAGTCTGGTGTAGCTGAAACAAAAATCAGGACTATGTAGCACTTTAAAGACTAACAAGATGGTTTATTAGGTGGTGAGATTTCGTGGGCCAGACCCACTTCCTCAGATCAAATAGTGGAAGAAAATTGTCACACCCATATATACCACAATGAACACATATGAAAAGGACAAATCAAATTTCAGAACAGAAGGGGGGTGGGGGGGGGGAGGTAAATGTCTGTGAGCTAATGATATTAGAGGTGATCATCCTGCTTCAAAGGCCTTTTAAGACTACACTTGAAAGAGAATCCTCTGAACTGTCATTCATGCTTAAATTTGACACTTTACACCTAAGTTTGAATAAAGACCCATTACAAAGATAGCTTCCCCAATTATCACCTCTAATATCATTAGCTCACAGACATTTACCTCCCCCTCTACCCATCCTCCTCCTGTTCTGAAATTTGATTTGTCCTTTTCATATGTGTTCATTTTTTTAATTGTATCCTTTGGTATATATGGTTGTGACAATTTTCTTCCACTATTTGATCTGAGGAAGTGGGTCTGGCCCTCGAAAGCTCACCACCTAATAAACCATCTTGTTAGTCTTTAAAGTGCTACATAGTCCTGTTTTTTGTCTCCCCTTTCAGGACACCACTATCTCTCCTTCCTTCCCCATCCTTCAATCTTTCTTTCTCTCTCTCTCCCTCTTCTCATCTTTGAAAGTCTCTATTACTCCTTCCTTTGCATTTCTTTTAGTCCTCCTCCCTCCCGCCTCTTCTAGAATGATCTGCAATGGAATGGTTAATGCTGATACTGAAGTATCATTTCTGGGCTTGATAGATGTTTCAGAGCTTTACTTATCAGGCTCTCTGCAGACTCAAGTGTCACTGCTGTCAGTTTACACTGGTTTCACTTTTGGAAGGTTTTATTTGCAACCATAAGATAAAAAGTTATTGCTTTTTTTTTTTACATAAAAGTTGAATTTCTGGAGAGTGTCTGTGGCCCACATGACCTCTACAGACACTATGTGGGCCAAATCTGGTCTGCAGGTCATGTGTTTGCAGCCCTCCTGAAAGTAATGGAGGTTAGGAGGAAACTTCTCCCAAGGGAGGGTTATTCTAGAACAGGCATGTCAAACCTGAAGCCTACTGTGGGCTGTGCAAATTAAAACTGATAGAAGTACATTTTCTTTGGTGGCCGTGAAAGCTATCAGAAAGTCATAATTATTTATTATTATAGATTATGTTTTAGGTATATTTTATAATATTTTTTCAGGTCTCGTTTGAAGGTAATACAATAATTTGATGTGTAAAATTGTTGTTATTTGCATCCATGAAGACTTTGAGTTTAAGGTTCTTCAGCCCCCCCCATCCCAAGGCCCAGCCAGACCAGACCCCGTGCCCCCCCCATCCCAAGGCCCAGCCAGACCAGACCCCGCTTTGCTCCCCCAGATCCAGGCACCCCCAGGCCCCTCCAACCCAATCCCCCTCCCTCCTCCCACAGCCAGGCACCCCCAGTTCCCCCCCGCTCTAACCTAATGCCTGGGTCCCAGAGCCACCGCTGCCACTCAATTCTCCTTCCAGGCGCTGGAGCGTGTGCACAGAGTGGCCGGCCATGAGCAGTCTGGGCATGTGGCACAGGAGCCGCATTTCTTTAATCAAAGAGAGCCACGGGTTGGCCACCCCAGTAAACAATGTATCCAGGCGTGCCACACTTAGATAATTTATAAAGATGTAGTCGCAGGCTGCAAAAAAAAATTGATTGGGCCGTATGCAGCCTACAGGCTACATGTTTGGCATGACTTTTCCAGAAGAATGGATGTTTTAAAAGGTCTAGGTGATTATGCCATGAGCCCCATTGAGAGCCAATAGCACTTGGATGCTTAAGTCACTTAGATGGGCTGGAAAATCCCCCCTAACAGGCCATTAGAGTTTCTTTCAGCCTCCTTTGAAACATTTTATTCTGGTCACTGACGAAGACAGGAGATTGGCTCAAATGTACTACAGACCGGATCTGGGATGGAAATATCTATTTGTGTGTTTAAACTAAACCTAGATTGTGCTTCTGTCATATCAAAACCAGAATGTTTTAGATCTGAAGGGAGCTTGCTTGGCAGGCAGCTTTTTGTATATTAGCTCACACTCTATAGATTTATATATTATCTGGACGAAAACAGAAGTGGACTTCAGCTGAACTACATTTTCTCTAATGAAGCATCACCATGTCTTTTGAACATAGGTCTAGCTGTTTAAAAACATCTTTTCTATTTAACAAACATCTTCACTATCACAATCATCGTGCCAGTTAAATCTCCCGCTGAACATTATCGGTTTTACTGAAGCTGTTCTTCCACAGCTTTGTTAGCCCAGGATAAAAGCAAATAAGCTATTTTAAAAAAATCAGATATTAAAAGTACAAATGAGGCACAGATTACAGGCAAAATCCAATTAAGATGGAAACCAAATTACCCTGCCTCTAATTTATTTCTCATTCTGCCCTCCACTCACATGTGCTTAGTTTTGAACAGAAATTTCCAAGAATTACTATGTCAGCTTTAAAAGGCAATTTCTTTAAGTGTTGTCATAGAAGTGTCAATTTAACTTAAAAAATAGAAAGAGAAATCAGTGAGCAATCAAAGCAATCTTTCCTGGATGCCTATTTCCATTTAGGAATTTATTGAGGGATCTGCAATGAAGTATTATTCCAGCTTCACACTGTAACCGGATCTGAGCGACCAGTGATATAAAACGCTTTCCACTCATCAAGTCTCTTCAGAGAGAATAAAAAATACTTCCCTGGGAGTGAATTGCCATCTAGTGAGACAGACACTCTGTGGCACACAAAACGCTGGATATTTTGCAGTCCGGTCACACTCCCTCTCGCGCACACAGAGCGTTACAAGTAAAATGCAGGCCAACAAGCCGGTGTAACTAGTGCAACAGCGAGCCAGGCACAAATCCCTCGGCGATCGCACACACTCTGGACATCTTTACGAGTGTACGATAAAAATGCCGACTGTCTCCAGGAGAAGCTAAGTTCACAGAGCGGCCCCTGCAGCCGGCCAAATAGCGGTCTCCCCTTGCCTGAGAACTTCGCGTCTTTACCCACCTGCTTGCTACGGAGAGAGGTCTCGCAGCCAGCCAGCAACTCCTTCAGCAACCAGCCGCCTGGCCAGGAGGGGCGGCTCTCCGCTGGCCCTGCTCGTTTGCAAGCGGATCCCCCTCTGCCCTCCTCGCCCCGCTCTCCCGCAGCAGCCGGCTGGAGGGACCAGCCTGTTGCACTCCCGCAAGGTGCCTGCCGCCCGGCGCCACGTGCAGCACGCTGCCCGGCCAATCAGAGGCAGCAGACAACTAGCAAGAGGGGAGGGGGGCTGCTCTCATTCACAAAGCCCCGGGCTGGTCCGGCCCGCGGGGTGGAAGAGCAGAGCGAAGGGGGCTTGCGCTCCGCGGCTGCGCTGCCCACGCAGAGAGAGCGAGGGAGAGGGGCAGCGGAGTGCGAAGGTGGGAGGCAGCAGGGATTCAGGGGGGTGAGTCACTTTGATGCTCCGTGCCTCAGTTTCCTCCTCTGTATTAATACTTAATACTTAAATTCATGGCGCATTAGGGTGCATTCGGAGGAGCATTGCCAGCAGATCCAGAGAAGTGATTATTCCCCTTTATCCAGCACTGGTGAGGCCACGTCTGGAGTACTGTGTCCAGTTCTGGCCCCCTCCTCTCCCCACTACAGAAAGGGTCTGGATGCACTGGAGAGGGTCCAGCGGAGGGCAACCAAAATGATCAGAAGGCTGGCGCACATGACCTAGGAGGCGAGGCTGAGGGATTTGGGCTTATTTAGTCTGCAGAAGAGAAGAGTGAGGGGGGATTTGATAGCAGCCTTCTGCTTCCTGAAGGGAGGTTCCAGAGAGGATGGAGAGAGGCTGTTCTCAGTAGTGAGGGCTGGCAGAACAAGGAGCAATGGTCTCAAGTTACAGCGGGGAAGGTCTAGGTTGGATAGTAGCAATACTATTTCTCCAGGAGGGTGATGAAGCACTGGAATGGGTTCCCTAGGGAGATTGTGGAACCTCCATCTCTAGAGGTTTTTAAGTCCCAGCTTGACAAAGCCCTGGCTGAGATGATTTAGTTGGAGTTGGTCCTTCTTTGGGTAGGGGGTTGGACTTGATGATCTCCTGAGGTCTCTTCCAGCCCTAGGATTATATGGTTCTACTTGTGTTCCTTGGTAAAGTGCTTTGAGGTCTATGAGTTCCATGAGCTGCCTAAGAGTGAGTCATGATTATTAGTTTGCAAAATTCATCATACAATCACACCCTTGAGAGAACAGACAGTTAGGGGGCCCTGCTTCCCCTCCCCACCTCCCACTCCCCTAAAGTGAATGGCTCCATTCCAATTTGTCTGGTGCTGGGCATGGAGAAGAAGAGAACACAGTCAGGCAAACCCCATTATACCCCCATTCTGAGGGGGTGCCAGAATCAGGGCAGAAGGAAGAGACTGCTAGTTGGATTCCCTTACACTGTGGCTTTCAGACTAGTGATAGCACCCCTTCCAACCACAGGGAAGTGGATTGGAAGACAAGCCACCATGAGATGTTCTGCAGTGTTTAAACAGAGATAATAAGCAAATCCAAAATGAAACTCACTGTACTTGTGATATACACAGGGGAGAGATGATTTTAATGCTGACTTTATTAATTTTTGCTGGTACCATTATATTACTTGTGTACTTAGACCCTGCCTAGACACACATACCCTCATATGACTGGTATCTTTGCTGTTTAGTTGAATAATACAATTTATGTATTTAACTTAAACCACCACAGTAGTTTAATTATTCTTTTGTTTGTTTTGTTTTGTTTCAGTGCCAGATGTCAGCATAGTGCTTTATAGACAAATAAAGACACAGTCACGTGCCAAAGAATTTACAGTACAGGCTTTGTCTTCACTAGCAATTTCACTAGAGTAATGATCCGAGTGTTCCTTTAAGACTTGTGCAGCAATTTGCCAATGCAGGATACTATCTACATGCTCAGTGTTATGCCACTAGAAAATGGCAAATTAGATGCACCTGGTAACAAATACAAGACAGTAATTCCTTTTTAGAATTTGAATTTATTGTGTGTGGGGGATTGTGGAGTACTAAGTAGCAGAGGAACAAGAATTGAGTGCTCATTTTAAACAAGAGTTTTAATCACTACAAAAGTCAATGAAGCCACATGATGAAGCAAGTAATACCTTGGTGCTCTTCTGACAAGAGGTGCCAGATCAGATACCCCCTCATCCTCATGACAAAGGCTTGATCCATCTCGCAGATCAATTTAAAAGTCACAGTTCTCCAAGCCCAGCTAATCTGAAATATAGGCAGCTGTGTTCTTATTTGAAAAGAAATTCTCTAAGAGCCTCATTCAAAGCCCGGAGAACTCAGGGGTGCGAATCTTTCCATTGACTTCACTAGTATTTGGATTGAGAACTAAAGCAAGAAAATTCAGAGATGTGAAAAATTTAGTTAACCAGCTATGAGTCTGAATTATAAACATTGTGTTGAAAATTGCCAGCAGCAAAGATTTAGGCAACACACTTCAAGGTCAGATTGAGTGGGCTGTTAGCATAGTGTGTTTTGTGATGGTTGGTGTGAAGTATTTGTGTTATATAGAAATCTTGGAAACGCAATAGGCGAAAAACCTGCCAAATTTGGCCTAAACAGTTTGGTTTAATATTTTTAGTGAGTATTTTTATTTTTTAGTGGCTGATTATTCTTAGGAAATTTTTTCTTGTTTCTGAGGCTTCTGTTAACTGATTCTGGTATCTGAATAAAATATGGTCTCGATAAGGATTTCAAGAGGCAATTTGAAAACAGTATTGCATTTCATGTTTTCCTGCCTACTCTGTGCATTTATCTTACCTTGATGTTTTGTTAAATGTCAATGTTCTAGATTATAGCCCAGTTCATTATTTTTTTACAAGGGCATAAATTTATGGCTGACAATCGTATTGCCTTTCCTTTCTTATTTAGTACTATGTGATTCTCTTGATTTCTCTGCAAATCTGATCCCCAAGGCTTTCTGGTATCACAAAGGAAATTGAAAGATAAGTATCCCCATCCCTCTCCCACACAAATAGCCAAAATATGGAAAGGTGCCATTAAAGTGCTGACAGACAAGAATTTGATTCCAGGCAAGGCACTACAGACCATCTTGTCCATCCTGCCATGCAACCTTCTGAGGAACTATAATATAATAAGTTTCTGGAGGCATCATTGGGAGGATCAAATCAGAGTGAATTGCTTAAAGCACTACTTACAGTGCAAGACTGGAGGTCCTTCACTATAAAGCACACCAAACCAGTCACAAAGCAAACTTTTGTTTGCCACACTGACTAGCAAGAAGTCGCACAAGAAATCTTAGTATAATTCCTTACACCGGGGTCGACAACCTTTCAGAAGCAGCGTGCCAAGATTGAACGTATTCACTTCTATTTACAGATCTGCGTGCCGGGGGGAGGAAGAGAGAGAAGGGGGCAGAGGCAGGCTGAGTACGCTGACTACATTTTCTGACCCAGATGCAGATAGGGAGAATGGTGTGATTTAAATTATTAAACAGACTAAGTGTTTTAACTTTCTCATGTTGGTTTATCAAACTTCATTTTAAATCAAGTAAAATATTATGTCCAACACAAAAAGTTTCAATGTTTTCTTTATTTATGGCAGGAATGGGAAACCTTTTTTGGGTTGGGGACCACTGACCCTGTGACGGGGCGGCTCCGCCACATACTCAAGGCCAGCGGAACCACTTGGTGGAGGGGGTGGAGAGGGCCCCACCCACACAGCCCTACTGGGCATACTCCCAGGGGGGTATAAAGGGCTGCAGGCCTGCTCAGAAGGGGCAGACCACCGTCGGAGCTGGAGCTAGGGCCCAACCTACATCCAGAGCCAGAGAGGGAGTCGCCAGGTCCGCCGCCGCAAGGCCCAAGCCGGGCTCAGCCCCAACGTCGGAGCCGCCAGCCAGCCACACGGAGCCCAGACGCCGAGTCGGAAGGTGCTACAGACATCGGGCTAACGCCAACAGGTGGGACGCTGCCGACCAGGGGAAGGGGGTAGGGAGTGACCCAGGGCAGGGAGCCGGAAAGGCCCCGGAGAGCTCGGAGCGTTGCGGGAAGGGACCCCCGCCGAGCCAGTGGGGGGAGCCGCCCGCCACTGATAGGGCCCTGGGTCGGGGCCCGGTGGAGAGGGAGGGCCCGGGCCCCCCTACCGCTCCTGCCCTGACCCCCGGCGAGTGGGGGCTCAGCTGAAGGACTAGGCCTTAGAGCCGGTGTACAAAGGACTAGGCCGGGAGGCTGTATTTCCCTTAATACCAGGGCTGCGTACTTTGGGACTAGGCCCGATGGTCTAAACTATGCCCCGGATAGGGGCAGCAACCCCTCCGGAGGGGTGGGGGTGACCCCCTTACAGACCCACAGAAAAATCATCTGGGGACTACACAAGTGAGAAGCAAAAAAATTCCTCCAAAAACCTCCAACCCTCACTGTTGTGACCCCCAACTGAGACACCTCACTTCTCCGGCACTCCAGCCTCACAGGGTGAGGGAAAGGGTCAGGGAGGACTGAGGTTTCGGGTTTCCATAGGCCAGGTTTACTTTGCTGGGGTTCCAGATTTAGTGGATTTTATGAACTCCCCTTTAGGCTCTGGGGTAGGGACAACAATGAGGGGTTCAGTGTGCAAGACAGAGCTGCCAATGAGTGGGGTAAGGATGGGATTCAGGGTCTGGGAAGGAGGGAGGGAAGGTGCAGATGCAGGCTGGGAGTAGGGTGTCTAGCTAGGTGGAGGGAGTAGGAGTAAAGGAGGGTGCAGTGTGTGGCCAGGAGGAAGAGAGGGTGTCGGAACAAGCTGGGGTCTTGGCGGGGTGAGGGAGGGAGACTGGGGTGTGGTCATCTGGGCATGAGGGGGGACACTTACCTGGCTTCGTGCCCCCTTGCAGCAGGGCATCACTGCACTGCCCTTCCCCCAGTGAGGTGGGGAGGAGGAGGAAGCTCAGCCCCTCACCACCCTCAGATGCAGCAGGGAGCCCATGTAGCTGCGAGGCTGCAGCACCAGCTCTGGCTTCCCACTCGGACAGCATGTGGGGGGAGAGATGAAGAAAGCCCTGACCTTCCCCACCGGACCCGGCTCGCCTCAGAGAGTGACAGAGCGAGTGGCTCCATGTGCTGCCCTAGTAGGATGGAGAGGGGTGGGGGGAGAGAAAGCGGCAGTACATGGAGTGTACCTGCCAAGCCCAAGTGCACCCCACCTTGCAGTGCCCCA